TTTTGATACCATTTTTGTATTTTTTTAGTATCTTTTAAAAGAATAATACGCATCTTAGCTATTTAAAAAAATCTGATTATTTTAAATGAATTATGCAAAAGCTTCTTTACAATATTAGATTTTTATCATGAATTTTTTTGGATCACATCTAAATTATAATGTTTAAATTAAAAATATTAATGCATCGTTTTTTTATTAGTTTATTTTATTTCAACGTTATCATCTCTACTTAATTGACTGGTTTGTGGCTTATGATGATATTGTCTTAATTGTTAATTTGTTATTATTATCTGGCTGGTCAATTCGGTATAGTATTTTATTATGTTATTGATTTGATTCAAATTATTGTAATATTTGATTTTTATTTTCAGTAAAAGGATTAGTTTGACACGTACCTTTTTGATTGGTTAAAAATAAACATATATAATCATAAAAAAAAATAAAAATCACACTAAATGTGTATATATTATTTTTTAAAAATATTTTGAAATATGTCAAAAGAAACGCAAGGAAAGATTTTTCTTTGAAAATACAGGGATTGTAATATTAAGAATAAAATATTACTTAATTATAGCTCCATTCAAACAAATAATTACTTAATGATGTGTGGACACATTATCTAATAAATTTAGTATTTTATGTATTCTTAAATATATTAAATGCACACATGATTAAATAACTAGTAAATATTTTCCGTACGTGTAGATAATTTTTAATTTAACAAAATTTAGAAATGTATAATAAAAGAAAAATAAAATTATCAAATGAGTATACATATTAATTTAAATAATAAAGTGAAAAAATATGTAGTTTAAAATTAAGGAGAAATGAGATTTTAACAAGATATTAAAAAACTTAATTTAAGAGTATAACTGACTAAGATTTGAGACAAATTAAATATATAAATAAATTTTTTAAAAAATAGGTTTAAAATTTCTGAAAAATATATGATATTATTTATCAAATAATGATATCTATTTATGTGTTATATAAAAAATATAATATAATATGACGTGTTTCTGCGTCAAAAAATAAGGAATTAAAAATAATGATATAAAATTAATACAAAATTATCTTATATTAACAGCGTATCACAATTCAATGTATTTTAAGATTAACTGATGAAAAAAAAAATTTGCTTTAAGTTTGATTTTGTGTGTGTTTAATTTAAATGTATTTTTTTATTTTAAAATTATAATTTACTAATTTATTTATCCTTTATTTAAATTGTATCTTTTTTTATTTTCTAATTTAAAAAAATATTTTTAGTCCATCATAAGGATAAAAGCACTTAATTTTATATTATTTAAGAAAAAAAATTATCATGTCATAAAATGTTGTTAATAGAAAAAAAAAGAAAAAAAAGTGAAGTGAAAGATAATTAGAAAATAGATAAATAATAGTTTAGTTTTATTTTATTCACATAAAATATATATATATATATATATATATATAAATTAATAAAATTTATATTATAAATTTTCAAAAATTTATTATTTTATAAATATTTACAATATTCTCTTAATATTTTTTAAAAATTATATCAAACCAAATTTTATAAAAAAAATTATATACATATTCAAATTTATGATATTCATATAAATTAAATATTAAAATAAAAAATAAAAATTTCTATGCTTTTAGAATTCATAAGGTTTTCTTTACAAGTCTTTCTATTTTTAATTTATTTAAATGATTATTAGTTTTTAGAGTTTTGTGTAGTTCATGCTTAAACTGTTTTTGCAATGTATGTTTTAGTCTTAAAACCTTTAATATCTAAAAGTTGTGTTAAAAATAATAAAATAAATACATTTTTAATATTTAAATTTTTAAAAATAAGAAACATGATATTAAATTAATAATTTTTTAACCTATAAAATATTATACCCAATAAGAAGTTATATATATTTTTTATTAAAAATTATAGAATTAAACAGTATTAATGAATTAAATTGTGTAATTTTCAATAAAAATATATTATATACAACTTATTATTATCATATGCAATGTTATATATGTTGAAAGAATTATTAAAACAAATTTTGTTCCAAATCTTAAAAATATAATAATTATTTTAACTTAAAATATTACACAATGGCATTTAACAATCGTTAATCATTGTGCAATTGTTAATAACATATAGTTTGACTATTTATAGATTTATAAATTTGTCAAAAAACTGGGGCAAGATGATCTCAACAGAAACATCACAATGATAATAACAATCCAACATATGGTGACCTAGCAATCTCACATCCATAAAATCAGATTTTCAAATAATTGTCCATAGGCTAATTAAAATAGATACTCCTCATTCTCACTCTATTTTGCTAAATATGATAAACTTTGCCGTAAAGCCAAATCCAAGAATGTGACGGAGGCCGGCACGTTCGTCGTTATCCACCATTACCAACCATTGATTAGTAATGGTCTTCGTTCAACCATGGACACATTTTCAAACATGAATTTCGTTAACAACTTCAAAAGTGACACTGAAAATGACTCTCTTCATTTATCTACTACTCTTAAAAAGCACTCTGTTATTGAATCATATATCAATTTCTTTTTATGTAGGGTATCACACATATATAAAATTGAATGAACAGAACCTGCAACTCTCATGCAAATTGCATAAATAGTGTTCTAAGCATGATGCATGCTAAACTTTGATTTTTGCAAAATAAGTTATTAAGAGGATGGCAATATAAATTATTAAAATTAAAAGTACAAATGAGAGAATTAATCAGACAATCAAATTGGAAATAATAAGATAAATTAATTAGGCCACGAACACAAATTTTTAATACTCCTAAAATATTAATTTGAATTATATTTATTATACACAAAATAATTTTGAATTTTTACTTTGCTCCAATTTTAAATTTTCAAACACAAGGGGTTAAAATGAAATTAAAAAAGGGTATGCATGTCAAATGTCAAATCACTAATTAAAAAAAATGTATTGACAATTTGACATGTCTTAATTAGGGTACGGGCGCGCACGAGGCCGTTGTAGTCTTGGCCAATGTAATAATATTAATTTATCACTTCCACGCTTGTCACTGTCCTTTTAAAAACATCTATTTCTTTTTAAATAATTAAAGAAAAACATAATAGTTTTGTTTGTTTAGATAATATTTTTTTTAAAGTAATTTTATCATTATTATTTAGATTTGTTTGATATTTATTATTTTTAAAATAAAAATAATCATCCTTTATTTTTAATTAGTGTAAAGTTGACAGGCTACTTTTTTTATATGTTTTTTTTAATTCAAAAAATATGATTTTTAAATAAAATTATGAAAATATGGAGTTAAAAAATTCAGAGATAAAAAAGCAAAAATTGATAAAGTTTTAAAAGTTTTCAAAAAATAATATGAAAAAATTAAAAATTATCAATGATAATTTTTAAAATATAATTAAATATTTAAAACGTACATCAAAGGTTGTCAGTGTTATTTTTTAGCCAAAAGTCATCAATGAAGATTTTTTAAAAAAAAATATATTTCCATAATTTTACAAAAAATCCAATATTTTTTAAATTTTGAAAAAAAAATCATATATAAAAAAAATGTTCCAAGTTGACAAACTGGGAAATGAAAGTAACAAAACTACTTGCTGGCTAATCCAAAACTAAGTCATGAATTGTGAATCATTGGCATATGTATAGCATAGTGAAATAATAAAGACAAAATCTAAAATATACATGAAGGGTACGTAAGTAGTTTAGGTAACATTTAATTTTGAAATCAAGTAATTAAAAAAATATAATGTCAGCAGATTACTTGAACTTAGACTTTTAAGTGCCTTTCATTTTTGTTTCGATGATGACTCTTTTATTTTATTTTTCTGGATACAGTTGGGAAGAACCAAATATTAAAGTCAAGTTTAATAATCATGCTGGCGCAATAAAATTGAATAATTTCATTATATGTATAAATAATTTCAGAATCATGGTGATGACGTGCTTATTATATATATTAAACACAGAGGAAACATCAAAAGATTCAAAATAATAAAATCAGAACTAAAATTTTCAATTATATATACTTTTAATTCATTTTTCCTTTAAAATATGAAACTTAAAATTCTGTATTAATCTCGAATATTTTTTTATCAGTAAAATTATGAGTGTTCATACATTATAGCATTAAGTTTACGCGAAACACGAGAAGAATACGTGGGTCTAAGCCACAGCATGCAATCAACGTCCAAGGCTGTGAAATTAGAGAGAGTTCAAAGAGTAAACCACACTCTTTAAAACCAATGTTAATGCATTACCAAAATTGTTGCTGTGTGGTACGAGGTTCCTTTCGCTTTACTTGTATTCGTTAGCATTTACTTGTCTTCACGAACAGAGGACATTGATCACTATCCAAAACGACATTTACGATTAATTGATTGAACTGGTCTAAAACTAGGGGCGTTACGCTCCCTACAAGTCCCTAACCTCAATTAACAGGCACCGTAAATCGTTGCCAAATTTTGCACGAAATTTACGAAAAGGCATGTGGCAAAAACGTTCAACCAAGAAAACGGCGGTGTCGTTTTGACCTTGGTTTAACCATGATAATACACCTTGGATTGGATCTACCCGTACCCAACATTAGTTATTACAAAGAATTTGCGTAAACCGTATCCGTGTTGTGTTGTGTTGTGTAGTGTTTGGTTCAGTCATTAGTCAAACTCAAACCCGTGCGAGCCGATGTTAGCCGAACCGGTCAGCAAGGGCGGCTCGACCGGCTCCAAACGTGAGCTTCTTCATCTTTTCTTGATGCCACCACTCTCAAATGCGAATCTTTGAATAAATAAAATGCCCCTAAAGTAGAAACACACCTCATTTCACATTCAACAATATACAGCTTCATAGCAACCATTCATTAAATAATTTATATTAACTCGTTGAGTCTTGAACACACGTATCAACAAGTAAACGTAAAATGAAAAGGAACCTTCCTGTTCTGAATTCCATTTTGACACCCTGCTGCTGCACCTACAACACGCAACCCAATGGATTCAACTTCAACTTCAAATTCTTCATGTTTTTGAGTCACACTTATTTTATTCTGGGATTCATCAGCATTTGAGTTCTGCTCAATAATAAAGAAAAACAAGAGGAGGAGCAACAAAAGAAAAAAAAAATAGTCCTATTTGCAACATAAATGTCAGAGCAGGAAACACATTCCTGTGGCTTACTATTACTCTTTTTCTTGATCCTTCTTTCAGGTAATGAGTGAAGCTCTTATTTACTGTATTACTATTTTTTTATTCATTGTTTCAAAGGTTGGTGATTATGTTACACAAATATGTGTTTTGCGTTTACCGAGGGAATTCTTGTATTTTGTTTGGTTTTGCCAGGTAAAGTTGTTGTAGGTGACTCTTTGGACACAGATAAAGAGGTTCTGCTGAAGCTGAAAGGGTACCTGGACAACAAAACCTTTGCAGACACAGGATGGTACGTGTATTGGAACATCCATGGCTCCACTAACCCTTGTGAATGGAGAGGAATCTCGTGCAGTGGCACAAGGAGGGTGGTTGGCATAGACCTCTCTAACAGTGACATCACGGGTGAGATATTCAAGAACTTCTCGCAGCTCACTGAGCTCACATACCTTGATCTCTCTCAGAACACACTCTTTGGTGAGATTCCTGAGGAATTGAGGAACTGCCACAAGCTGGTGCATCTCAATCTCTCCCACAATATTCTTTCTGGTGTGCTGAATTTGACTGGATTGAGAAGCTTGCAAACGCTGGACTTGTCAAATAACAGATTTTATGGGGAGATTGGGTTGAATTTCCCTGCCATTTGTGACAATTTGGTCACTTTGAATATCTCAGGCAATAACTTAACTGGCAGGATTGATAACTGCTTTGATCAATGTCTCAAGTTGCAGTACTTGGATTTGAGTACCAACAAGCTCAGTGGGAGTATGTGGATGGAATTTGCAAGGCTCAGAGAGTTTTCTGTTGCGGAGAATCATCTCACTGGGACCATTCCTTTGGAAGCTTTTCCCGGGAATTGTAGTCTTGAAGAACTAGACCTTTCACAAAATGGATTTGTTGGTGAGGCACCTAAGGGGGTTTCTAATTGCAAGAATTTAAGTAGTCTGAATCTTTCTAGTAACAACTTTACTGGGGTTATTCCAGTTGAAATAGGATCCATTTTAGGCCTCAAAGCATTGTACTTGGGGAACAACAGCTTTTCAAGAGAGATTCCTGAGGCCCTTCTGAACTTGACCAATTTGGTTTTCTTGGATTTGAGCAGAAACCGGTTTGGTGGGGAAGTACAAAAGATATTTGGGAAATTTAAGCAAGTGAGTTTTCTTCTGTTGCACTCAAATCATTACAATCGAGGATTGAGTTCCTCAGGAATTCTTACATTGCCCAACATTTGGCGGTTAGACCTTAGCTACAATAACTTTTCAGGTCCATTACCAGTTGAAATCTCTCAAATGTCAAGCCTTAAGTTTCTCATGTTATCCTACAACCAATTCAATGGATCCATTCCACCCGAATTCGGAAACATGACTCACCTACAAGCACTGGACCTTGCCTTTAACAATTTGAGTGGGCCAATACCACCAAGCCTTGGAAACTTGAGTTCCCTATTATGGTTGATGCTCGCAGACAATTATTTAACAGGAGAAATCCCTCCAGAGCTGGGAAACTGCACAAGTTTGTTATGGTTAAACCTTGCCAACAATAAGATCTCTGGAACCTTGCCTTCTGAACTGTCCAAAATTGGAAGGAATGCCATGACCACATTTGAATCAAATAGGCAAAACTATAGAATGATTGCTGGCTCTGGTGAATGTTTAGCAATGAAGAGATGGATTCCTGCAGATTACCCTCCATTCAGCTTTGTGTATAGCATCTTAACAAGGAAAAATTGTAGAGGCCTTTGGGACAGATTGCTCAAAGGGTATGGTATTTTCCCATTTTGTACGCCTGGTTCTTCCCTTCGCACACCCCAGATATCTGGTTATATTCAGATAAGTTCAAACCAGCTCAATGGGGAAATCCCTTCAGAGATTGGGACAATGGTGAACTTCAGCATGTTGCATTTGGGTTTCAACAACTTCTCTGGCAAATTCCCACCAGAGATGGGAAGCATTCCGCTTGTGGTCTTGAACATGACAGGAAACAAGTTTTCAGGTGAAATTCCTCAGGAAATTGGTAACATGAAATGCTTGATGAACCTGGACTTGTCTTACAACAATTTCTCTGGGACGTTTCCCATTAGTTTGAACAACTTGGCAGAGCTTAACAAGTTCAACATCTCATATAACCCCTTAATATCCGGTGTAATCCCATCAACCGGACAATTTGTTACTTTTGAGAAAGATTCATATTTAGGAGACCCACTCTTGATCCTTCCCAAGTTCATTGATAACACTACCAACGGTAAAAACGTAACCTTTGAGAAAGACCATCAAAAGGCCACAAAATTATCTGTGTTTTTGGTGTTTCTAGTTATAACACTGGTTTTCATGGTATTTGGGCTTCTCTCTATCATAGTCTGTGTATTGGTGAAAAGCCCATCAGAAGAACCGCGATACCTCTTGAGGGATACAAAAGAGTGGAATGATTCCAGCAGCTCCGGATCCTCACCTTGGTTGTCTGATACAATTAAGGTTATCCGTTTGAACAAGACAGCTTTCACACATGCTGACATTTTGAGAGCAACTAGCAGCTTCTCAGAGGACAGAATTATAGGAAAAGGTGGGTTTGGAACAGTGTACAAGGGTGTGTTTTCAGATGGCAGACAGGTAGCAGTGAAGAAGCTCCAAAGGGAAGGACTTGAGGGTGAAAAGGAATTCAAGGCTGAAATGGAGGTTCTGAGTGGTCATGGGTTTGGTTGGCCTCATCCAAACCTGGTCACACTCTATGGTTGGTGCCTAAATGGTTCAGAGAAGATACTGATTTATGAGTACATAGAAGGTGGAAGCTTGGAGGATCTAGTGACTGATAGAACACGTTTGACGTGGAGAAGGAGGTTAGAAGTGGCAATTGATGTGGCACGTGCATTGGTGTATTTACACCACGAGTGCTACCCTCCTATAGTGCATAGAGATGTGAAGGCTAGTAATGTGCTGCTAGACAAGGATGGGAAGGCCAAGGTTACAGATTTTGGGCTTGCAAGAGTGGTTGATGTTGGTGATAGCCATGTGAGTACTATGGTGGCTGGTACAGTGGGCTATGTTGCACCTGAATATGGACACACATGGCAAGCTACTACAAAAGGAGATGTGTATAGTTTTGGGGTATTGGTTATGGAGTTGGCTACAGGGAGAAGAGCAGTGGATGGAGGGGAAGAGTGTTTGGTGGAATGGGCTAGGCGTGTTATGGGTTATGGAAGACATCATGGGTTGAGCCGTTCTGTGCCAGTTTTGCTATTGGGTTCTGGGCTAGTTGGTGGGGCAGAGGAGATGGGTGAATTGCTAAGGATTGGGGTGAAGTGCACTGCTGAGGCACCTCAAGCTAGGCCTAACATGAAGGAGGTTCTTGCTATGCTCATTAAGATATACAATCCCAAGGGAGACTCCAGTTATGTACACTTTGTTTAGTCTTTTTTGTTAAGGGGATTAATGGATTAGAGAAAAAAAACATGTGCATAGTTTAATCTGTAACATAGTTTACATACCATCAATGTCATGCACACAGTTTATTTCATTCTTCTATTGTATACAGAAACTTCATTATGTCAAGGAAGTTGCCAATTTTGTTGTGCTACCCTTATTTCTGTAGTCAATTTAAGTTTAGTAATAAAATCATGATTTAATCTGACTTTGTTGCTGTTTAGGCCTTGTCATGGCATTGGCAGGACCAACATTTCCCCTCCTTTCTTCCTTCCAGAAGGCCATGCTTTTATGGAAATCAAACTCGTCACCTCGCTTCTTTTGCCAATTATTGGATTCAGTGCTTCTCGACCTCCTTGGGCCTGAAAATGTTAGATTTCAAATGCAAATTTTAAATAAAACATATTCCGTTAAGATAATGTTCAATTAATTTTAAAATAATTTTATCTCGTTTTTAAATTAAAATTTATAATTTTTTATTTTGGTCATCAAATAAATTATTTAGCTTTTATTTCTGTTAAAAAATACAACAACAACAACAATAATAAATATTATTACTACTACTACTAATTAATTATCTGCACAATTATTATTATCATTAATTAATAATTAATGTTATCATCATTATTTTTATTATATTAACTATTGTCTTTGATATTATAATAACTTTTATTATTATCATTATTACTTCTATTATCATTATATTATTTTTATAATTATTTGTTGTCAAGTTCATACCCATTAAATCATTTGTGTCATCACTAATGTCATTTTCATTACTATAAGTTCATTGTTGCTTTTATTATCACTTCTCTCTCTGTTGTATGTATTATCAAATAAGCTTGGATTGAAAAATAAAAAGTGATTTATTTGATTTAAATTTAAAATTTTTTTGTTAATATTTAAAAATTAAAATTAATAAAAAAATTTAACCAATAATTTAAAAATAAAAACTAGTTTTAATGTTTAGAAATTTTTAAACTTAAAATTACCAACATACAGAACCTTAGTTATTACTCAAGGCATAATTATTTGTAAATGGGATTCAATCAATCTACCTTTATATATAATTTGTAAGTTTTTATTCTTAAACAATAATATTTTTAGGTATTATTTCTATTTCTCATTATGTCATGTGACTTTTCATACCTTGAATATTGTTTTTAATTCAATTATTTAAATTTTATATTTTAAAATTTTCATGATTTATTTTTAATTTGAAAATTATATATCTTTAATTTAGTCTTATTTACTTTCATAAATTTTTTATCATCATCATTAAAATAAAGTATTTATAATTTTTTAAAAACTTTTTATATAAAAAATAATTTTAATTTAATACTAGTTGTGAGAATGCACAAGAAACTTACTAGTATATGAATCAAATTTCATTAGTTTTCTTGATTTGCTATTATTCAATTTTGATCATCATTATACATAACTCTAAATTAAATTCAGTGCCAATACCAAACATGGAAGCGAGTAAAAGTCAAATTTTTGGTTTTTGATTTTCCAATCAAGTTTAGTGACATGATTCCGACTTTTATGTGAGCCTTGCGCAGCAGAATGCTAATGCTGGCTTTGAGCCAACAATACCATTATGACAAAGCAGTAGCTTAGCAATGATTGAGTTTTATTGTAAACCCAACACGTACGGTAGGTATCACCCTTCAGATTCATGCACCTCATGTACTTCAAAATATTGGTGCTGATAGTAAAAGAATAGATCATTGTGTATCACGTTGTGGTTGCTTGTGTGAAATCGTGCTTTGATGTTGTATAACCAATTGTCTAACACTTCTCTTTTAACTTTGTTACTTCAAATATATGAATAGTTTTTTTAGGGTCTGTCATTTCTTTGCTTTGATGACATTTATCATGCAAAATGGTTTGATTTGGTTTGGTTGGGTGTCATTAAAGTTCCAGTTAATGTCCAATAACAATCAAACATTCGGATTCGGTCCCCGTCTTCCGTAATTTTTTCACAAACTTTTCAATTTCCTTCTGAAATATAGAACCAGCGCCAATGTCAACTTCAAAAGCTGCAGTGTGCATGCTATCAAAGTTGGTAGAGAAACAGTAAGCAGAGACAATGAACTGAGTACTAATTAACGTCCGTTAAATTTTGATGACATTTGAATATTACTGGGATGTGTGTAAAGTAATCTTCGTCACAAATTTTATTTGAAACATGTGTTACAAGATATGGTACAATGACCTAAACGAGCTATTTGTTGCAGATGCACCTAAGAGGCAAAATCTTGATCAACTAAATGCTGATAAACAAAGCAAGAGACTATTCCACAGAGCTAGAGATAGATATAAAGAAATGTAAGTAAAACATTTTTAACTATTAATTAAAATTTATTATAAATTATGCGAGTTTCATTATTTTTATGTATATGTTTTTTAATTTTTTTAATTTTAGATAAATTTTAATTAATTATTAAAAGTATATTAAAAAAAACTTTATTAAAAAGTATGTTATTAGTATTTGTCTTCATTAAATAGGCATGTCTCTCTTGCTGCCAAATAGGTTTGAGGGAAAGCACACAAAATCTTTTATAAAAACATACTACAGGATGAAAAATAAGTATTTAATTGGTTGTTTGGAAATAAGAGTTTTTTAAGAGAGGATAAATTTTTTATTTTAAATAATGGCGTTTAGAATTATTATTTTTTAAAATATAAATATAAATTAATATTAACTTAATTTAATTTATTAATTATCACAAATAATACATAATTTTTTAAATTTTAAATTAAAAAATATGTATTTTCTTTCATTTCCTCCAAAATCTGTCTCCCAAACGTATCCTAATTAAATTGGCAAGGAGAATATAGCAACAATAAATAGGTGTTCTTGTAAGTACTGTTAGCTATAATGATAAACAATACATGTAGAAATGCATTGCAAATGGTGTTTCTCAATGGCTTGTGGGATTATTTTGGGATGTAAAAATATTTGGACACTGTTCTCTTCGATCATGTGGGCTCAGAAGATCATATCTCATGCGCAACATTAGTTGCTAATCTAGTCAGAGCTTTCTAAGTTGTATGTACTGGTCTTGAGGTCTCATGGCAAATTAAGAAACGTGTGTCTTAAGCCTTGAATTGAGGAGGAAAGTTGAGGTTATCATGAAAACTAAGACTAAAAGGCAGCTAGAGCCATCAACAGAGAACTAGTCTATATGTAAGATTTCTAGGAATTGATAAACATGAGTGGAATCACATTAATGCGGTTTTATAAAAGCATTTTGCGATTACATTTGTTTAATTTACCTTCAACACAACATATTATTTTCAATTACACAGTAATAGTATAACTATCCCTAGTACCTCATCCACTACTTTAAAAAAAGATACTCAAAAGCCCATTAGTCTTGGTCCAAGCACAATAGTTGACATCAGTAAAGAGAAATCTAAAAGAAATACTCAAGTTACTATCCGTTTGAAAGATTACATTCGCTATTAGCCACATGTAGGGACTTTTGACAATAGGACCAATTCTGTTATTTTATATAAAGTTTAATGATTCATAATCTTCTTTTATGTTTTTTTTTTGTTATAGTGCATATAACGCACTCTTATAGTATTGAGGTATGCAAAAATGAATTAAGAATATTCTCTCTCATTATCTTCTTCTCTTCCCTCTGTACATCCCTTTCGTTGGTGCTTTCATTGAGCTCCTTTCTCCCCTCCCATGACTGACCATTCTGCAGCTCTTCTCAACATCGAACGTCAACTTGAGCAATCCTCCTCTCCCACGCAAATTTCTCCAATATACTTCATGAATTAGCCTAACGCACCTCCCACCTTGAAAACAAAGAAACCATCACACCTATCACCAACACCCCATCTCTCACAAAACCCTTTCGTTTTGACCTCCCTAACTTCGACAGATCTAATGCCTTGGGGTGGATTTTCAAAATCACCCAATTTTTCAGTTATCACCAAGCTCCACCAGAGCAACGCACCCAGATCGCTTCGTTCTATTTGGAGGGACCAGCTCTAGCTTGGTATCAATGGATGTTCAACAACGGTCTCCTCACATCATGGGAGTCCTTCCTTAGAGCACTTGAACTCCGCTCTGCCCCTTCCAAGTTCGATGATCCGATAGCCACTCTGTGTAAGTTGTCTCAAACTTAATAGTTGGATGAATACCTCTCTGAGTTTGAAACAATTTCCAACCACATATCTAGTTATCCCACCAGTTTTTACATGAGTTGTTTCACCTCTAGCCTCAAACCCAATCTACGTCGTGAGGTGTTAGTTTCACAACCCACTGACCTTCCCTAGGCGATTGCCTTTGCTAAGTTACATGAGGATAAACACAGACACATTCCCTCTCCTTTCACCCACTTTCCAAGGTTGTCAACCCCACCACCACCAACCCCTACACAACCATTAAAACCACTTCCCCCTCTCTTGCCTAGCCCTACATCCAAAATACCAACAAAAAAGCTCACAGAAGCAGAAATGCAAGCTCGTAGAGACAAAAACCTTTGTTACAACTATGATGAACGTTACCACCGCGGCCATCGATGTAAGACCTAATTTTTCCTGCTCGTCTTGCAGGAACCCCCCGATACACCTGACCCAAGTGATGACACAATTCTGGATCCACCAGACGACTCAAACCTAGAGGCTGGGCTCATAAGCCTACACGCATTATCGGGCTAATGGACCCCATGTACATTCTATTTCACTAGATCTATTAAAGGCTATGCTGTCCAGATCCTCGTGGACAGCGAGGCAACCCAAATTTCATCCAGTAAAGAGTTGCTCAGTTCCTTCAGTTGCCTCAATAGCCCACTCACTCACCTCTTCGTGTTATGGTTGGCAACAGAGATTTCCTTCCATGCTCCACCATTTGCTCAAATACCACCATAACATTATCTTCTCTGAAATTCTCAGTGGATCTCTATCCTTTGGAACTCTCGGGTACTGATATTGTTTGGGGAGTGCAATGGTTAACTCAAATAAGCCCGTTTGTAATGGACTACACAGGCCTATTTATGAAATTTATGTGAGACGGCCATTTGGTCGAACTAAGAGGAGAAACAAGCCCAAATCCCACACCCATTCCAGTCCAACAACTAAAGAGACTACATAACACTCACTGGGTTGAGGCCCTATTCCAACTGACCCTAGCGCCAAACCCAGTACACCTTGATACCCCCACTATCCTAAACACATTAACCT